GCCACGCACGCACGAGCGATACTGCGATTTGCCCAATGCAAGCCTGGACCTTCATTCTGCCTTGGATGGAAGAAGTGCCGGGTACCCTGGTTCTCCCAGATAATGATATCTTCCTTGTCTTCTTTATGTGTGCCCGACCTTCAATTTCGCTCGCGTAATGATCGATTTTCAGTTTAGCTGAAGGTAGAACTAGGTTATCATCCAAGGTAGAACTAGTCAATAACTGGTGTCTTGATAGTACCTAAGGCCATCGGAGTTGGTTTCATCGAAGCCTTCGTTCTGCGCTGTTAATGCACTCTCCGTGCAATCTACTGACAGTTCAGATACTCACTGATAGATTCAGTCGGAGCCATGAGTTGGCACAAGACATCAATGGGGGATATAAGGATAAAGGTTACTTCGGGTCGCAATTGTAATGTCTGAGAGTAAGGACCGTGAGAATCTCAAGGCCCTCATGAAAGCTATGGCGGATGTGGCCGAGCGTGCGTTCGGTATGGAATCGAGTAGCGGCACTCGTGCCAACTCAGTTCTGGAGAGATGTAATATATAGATATATTAATAACAAATTTACTGGTCATGATCGCAGGAAGTGTAGAAACTTGGAGGACTGCAAGATGGATTGTAGGAAAAAGCACTCATAAAATCAAGGGACACGTAGTGAAATAAAACTGAGACAATCACAGTCCGTTGCCGTACTCCGCACAAGCCGGCAACCATCTCCTAATATCGCTCCCAAGAAATGTCGACACTTCAGTTAGCTTGATAGCGTCTCGATCGCTGCTGTTCCTTCGCGAGGACCTGGCAGTCTCACCAGCATCGATAATATTCAAGCTCAGTTCTGTTTTCACTTACGCTTTGCTGCAAAAATTTTTGGTGGAACTCTCTGAGATACCATTCCCAAAGAGCTGGTTGTAACCTCCCAATGGGTTCGTTGTCCTCTGAGGAGGGATATCCTCAACGTGCTCACTTGCCCGCTGTTAACGGCGTCATCTTCGCGCGCGCCACAAATTTTCTACTCTTGGCCACATTTTTCTCTTCGGCGGCCACTTTTTCACTTTCCGAGCCACAAACTGCGTTTTCCTTGTGTTTGCCGGTGGCCGCCCTAGCGGGGCCCGGGGGTGAGTTCCGGGATCATTTCGGGCTTGGGTATTCCTGAGTGTGTCCCTCGGACGAATAGGCGGGGTTCTAGGTTCCCCGGGTAATACTGGACTGGTGCTTAATAAGGATCCCGAGAGGTTGTATTCGGGTTTCTATAGGCAACTGATGGACTAGGTCCGAGTTCAATTCGGGCTTGGGCATACCTTGAACGACTCGGATTAGCTTGCCGCTCTGTCTGATCAGATGATCGCCCTTGGATGGTAGTCTTCACTTGGATAACAGTTCGGGTTTCTGGTTTTCATAGGAGCAGCTGTGCCATGGATGATGGCCTTCACTTGGTTAAGAGTTCGGTTTTCGGGTAGCCTTGTCGGGTTTCGGGTGGGGCTTCGGGTCTCCCTGTTCTCGGTTTCCATCCGCAATCCTTTGTTTCTCTTGGGTGGACTTGCAAGCTATTTCATCTTCAGTTAAGAATTCACAACTGAGTGAATCAGTGAAACTTGATGACGGTTTCCCTTGTGATTTGTGCTCTTGCGTAGGTGTTTTTCCATCAATGTCAACCCGAAAAAAGAGCTTGAGATCAGATGTACTGCGACTACTCTGGCCGAGAGTCTCTTGGGTGGGAAAGATGATCCCGCCCACAGCATAATTGCTGAAGTGGTAAAAGACGGTGCCACCATGGACAATTTGTCGTATATAACTATGAGGGGCCTTGATGCTCATGAGGCAGTGATGGTCGCTGATTCGGTGAAAGTGTAGACTTTTTCGGAGACACCTGCGCACAATCCTTGATACTTAGCCTGACCTTTAGCTAGCTACTTAGTCTTACTATATATTGGAAACTACTATATACTTGGACCTTTACTATATAGGTTATATACTGCTGTATTTCCTAAGTTACTGGAAACTACATTGTTGCGTTTATCATGGCTCCTAAGACCAAGGCCAATCATGGTGCATCATCCGTCTCTACAACGACTGCTACGGTTGTATTACAAACAAACCCTGCTAAGCGAGTTCGTAATGCCTCACTCTCTATCCAGAAAAGTGGCGAAGCAGACCTGGACAACCAGTGAGGTCATCTGCAGAGTGAGTCTACATATAGACAATTGCTTGCAGTTGTAGGAATAGCATCTAGCTCAGTGGCGTGGGCGTGTTCGAGCTACTCGGTTGCGAGAAGAGATATTGGCCCCGATCCAGCAGCGTTTCATTCAGCATGCAAATTGACACGCTACCCTTTAGCTACCAAGGATGACTCTTTTGGCCCAGAAGAAGGATATGCTACCTTCAAGTATGACGCCCTCCGTCAAAAGCTGAGTTTTGCCACTGCGAAGGTGTCCGGTCCGAATTGGCCACTATTGTTGGTCGGTTTAGCTGCTTATCTCCCGGAGACAGTCGTGGATGCTGCCTTGAAGGAAAAGCTCCATATTCTACTTATGAAGACTAATGGAAGTGAGGAATACGTTGGTGCGGACTCCAAGCTTGTACTTTAGGCTAAAATTAGAAAAGAAGTTGGTAGAGATGGGTATGATGCCGAGCTTGTCCATGACTATTTTGTGAAATGGTTGGAAGTGCTCAAATCTCTTTATCGTGCTTTGGTAAAGAGATGAAGGGAGTCTCAAGAAGCAGAATCCCCCCGAGTGAGCAATCCGGTTCTATTATTGGGTAGATGGGCGTCTTTGAGATTCCGACGGATACCATTAACGCGTGGTTTCAGTGAAGAAAGAAGGTTGGCTGCTCGCCTCTCGTCGTTCAGTGATGAATCAAGTAGTGACATGTCTGCTATTAAGTTCACTTTCGCTTTGCGAAGGAAGATCCTCGCCTTGATTGTGCGTTCAGTGGCAGGTAATATTGGTGTTAATGAACTCGCAAAAAGAATTGAGAAGGCGAAGTCTGAAACGGCTTGTATTGATTTACTTCAGGACTTTGTGACTGCCAACAGTAGTGGTATCATCGACGAGTATTTTGGTGTTGATAGATTCGACTATACTAAGAAGGAAAAGCCCGCTGCTGCTATAAATGCTGCAAACTCTCGTCCAGAGAAGACAGCAAGGGATGAGACCTCGCAAGAGGATTTCATTCCACGACCCAAATAACGTCGTACTCATCAACATCCCTTCAAGAGTGGGGAATCTTTCTACGAACAAGTCCAATTTACCCTAGGAAACACTCAGAAGAAAGATCATCCTATTGTTTCGGCTTCTGCAGGCGGTGGGCCTACATTATCACAGAAGCTGAGTGTCTCAAGTAATGTTCTACAAGAGCGACGCCAAGCCAATTTATGCCTGAAGTGTGGTGCTCAATGCCCACAGATGCCCAATGTTAAGGCTAAAGGTGTTCTTGAGAAGAAGTCGCAGGATAATTCCAAGCGTCAAAGTGCGGATTCTTCTCATAGAATCAGCCTTGCGTCAGTTAATGATGTTAATGATGGGGTATTAGGAGTGATTGCCAATGTATCCCTTGCGGATAATATAGCAATCACACTGCCACTGAGAGCCGGACTGGATACGCATGGACTGATACAATAAGATGTTAGTGATAAACTGTGTTCGGATCGCTCCTCTCTTGAAACACCTGAAAAAATCAGAGTATCAAATGGGAAAGTAGTAGAAACGAATGAAAGTACTTCGCCGATAGAGAGTGTCTCTCCATGACGAGAATAACATAGGGATAGACTAGAAATAAATGCTCAGCCTCGCCCCCCATAAAGCGTGTATTCTGATCGCATGGTTGTCAAAACCTACCCGAAACCTAAACCTAAATATAAGCGAAAAATTACGCATCGTCATTATCACCATTCCAATCATGCGTCTGTGACTCTCTGTGACCTCGGCTGAAGAGAAAAATTGTTGCTCCCATCTTGAGAAACTCAAGAACCATCGTTGGGTACAGTAATGTTCTGAGCCAGATCCTCAAATTCATCGACGACCAATCCGTCCATACGACTATCATCATCGACATCGAGGACACCCTCGTCCGAAATATCGTCGTCTTCTCGGAAGAGTTTTTAATATGATGTTTCTCTACAACGTTAGTACTTTCATGTATCAGTACAGCAATACGCTTACCGATGATACGAGTCACCTTGAAAAAACCACGGAAACGACGACTCCATTCATGCTCGCGCGGTCCAAAGCTAGGACTCCATCGCCAATGCCGATAGGACGATCACTGCGGCGTTTGTAGTTCAAAGCAGCTTCGAAGGCACGCTCAATACGGTCTTGCTGTATCGAGATAAATCGTTATTGAAGCCTACAGAGGGCTCTGTTGCGGGTCATAGATGTCAACTCGGTCGGACCGTCGGTCTCAATATCATCGAAGCCAGTTGTTCGACACGGGGTCGTGCTCGTAGGGCAGAACATGGTGTGAGCCGATCATGAGTTGGTAAGGGCTAACGTTCTCAGCGCCCTCGTCATCCAAGGCGTACGAGTTGATGCAGTTCGCCAGCATGGCGGTAACGACAGGGTCGTCGCATGAACGGCCTTGCAACCGTCCGATCCTTCAAGCATCCGAGCTAGAGTAGAGTTAATCACCCTATGGCGAGTCTCAACTCAACCCAGTGACCAAGGGGCTCTCGAAGCAGAAGATTTTATTTGTAGTTCATGTAAGCGGCAGTACTCCGTCATATACTTACTGAGATGATCTTTGGCTCGATCGCATCGTAGTCTGACCGGATAGCCGAAACGTTTGAAGATGACCGATAGACTATCACATATGTCTCTAGCTTTGAAAGATCCAGCCAGTGGGAATATAACCGTGGAGCTT